CAGACAGTTTTTATTATTTTTCAGCAGTGCACAAATAAAGCTACTCCTAGTCTCTGTTCTCTGTCATGTTAAATAGTTTCTAAAATGATTATTTTCATATGATTAAAGCAACTGTTGAAAATTATAGCTTAAAATTATGAACACTTAGCTATAGATACTAAATTTTTACTGTAAATAGAAAACTATGAAAACAACATGAATTGACAATACCTTTCCTCCAGTTGTTCTGACTAGACTAAACTCTTTTCCAGAAGTAATTGATGCTATATCTTCATCAAACCCGGTACCTGAAATTCAATTGCTTGTTTATTAAATTTTTCGAGAATATTTCAAACAGAACTAGAAATGTGTCCATAGGACACCGGTGCCCCCACCGCGCCACTGTTCTGTCAATCTTTTTACTAAGTCAAGGGAAATAACTCTACAAATACTGGATAAATCCACAAGCGAAACCCTAAAAAACGAAAAATCTAAATATGCTGAGCAACCTGCCCATAAGGTTTAATGACTCTATGTCAAATCCTTTTTGAGTAACTTGCGACACAAGTTGAAAATTGCAAACATTTTCTAAGTCAAGGGCAATAACTCTAAAAATACTAAATAAATCCAGACGAAAATACCTGGTGCACAACTGCACATGCTGATCAATATTCCTGTGAAGTTTCATGACTCTAGGTCAAATCCTTTTTGAGTTACATGCGACACATGTTGAAAATTGCAAAATTTTACTAAGTCAAGGGCAATAACTCTAAAAATACTAAAAATATCCAGACGAAAATACCCAGGTGCACAACTACACATGCTGATCAACATTCCTGTAAAGGTTCATGACTCTAGGTCAAATACTTTTTGAGTTACATGCGACACAAGTTGAAAATTGCAAAATTTTACTAAGTCAAGGGCAATAACTCTGAAAATACTAAGAATATCCACATGAAAATACGCAGGTGCACAACTACACATGCTGATCAACATTCCTGTAAAGTTTCATGACTCTAGGTCAAATACTTTTTGAGTTACATGCGACAAAAGTTGAAAATTGCAAAATTTTACTAAGTCAAGGGCAATAACTCTGAAAATACTAAAAATATCCAGACGAAAATACCCAAGTGCACAACTACACATGCTGATCAATATTCCTGTAAAGTTTCCTGACTCTAGGTCAAATACTTTTTGAGTTACGTGCGACACAAAAGTGAACGGACGGACGGAAGGACAGACGGACAAGGGTAAATCTATATGCCCGCCACTAAAGTGGGGGCACAAAAACAAATAAAGGGAATTTCAACAAAATTCTGAACATTAAAAAAAAAACAGTTAGTTTAAGTTTTAATTCAAAGGACAAAAGCAATAGATACAAGCTATTTTTTCGTAATCTTCATATAAGCAGAGATAATGCTTTTACAACAAAAGTTTAAATCAAAGGCCTGCAAGCTCTGTGGCATTTTCTGATCTTGCAATCTAAACCGTACTGTATATCTGTATGTAATTTCCTGTACAAGATTATTTTCATATACTACAATTCATTTTGCAGGGCACCAAGGTGCAGCGACTGTGTTTAAACTTTTTGCTATTACAGTTGAGTTTCATACATACAGAATTTTGCATGACTAGAGTTGCATCATAAAATCATATGACAGCCACACTTTATCCTTGAATATCGTGGTTACTTCCCTAAAAAAGACACTTAAAAAAAAACCTAGACCTCTCGAACTCTAGACAAGCACGTTACCCCTGCACCACAGGGAAGTTATACAAAGAAAGCCTGAATAAAATCAAATAATTCTAAATTTAGAATTTCCATTTTAGGGTTTGTAATCTTTATCAATTTTGAAGCATTTTGTTAATGATAAACCTGTTGTTTAACACTGATGTAAATAGTTTAACGAAAATCTTCTCGCATGTATATAGTATATACCACTACTCGACAGTCAGATTTAATTGTGTAATACGCTCTGAAGTATTCGGTAATCGACATCGCTTAAAAAAATGGAATTTCATTGATTAAAATGATATTCATCCGCGTAATTTGTGATTGTTCATTTGTTGACAATTCTATAAGCCAACGCTACTTTAAACTTTGATTGCCTTGTAATTTGTTGGATACTTGTAACAAAATAAAAATATTTCTTTCTTTTATATCGCTAGTTTTAAGCTGTTTTGAGAACTACTTGTTGTTAGGTTTGTCATGAAGAGATTGAATGTTAGCTTTGTATTTCCTGATCTGCAATCAGAAAATACAAAAATCATACCATAGAACTTTGTTCAAGTTCAAACTTGTTTAAGTTTAATACTGAATTTATTGAACGAGTTGAATAAAGTTATATTATGCAAACCTCTGGCGAGCCTATAGTGTAAAGCTAACATTTAGCATATCTTTACATTATGTTTGTATAACGTAAATGACATCACTTCAAAAATATATGCACAGCCATGCAATATTTACCATTTTTAAGGAGTCAGAAAATCGGCATGGGTATGTGATAAATATCTAAAACTGTCAAAACACTTACATATTGTTCTTCTATCACTATTGTTTTGATCAGAAATATCAACACCAAATGCATCCACACATTTTCTTGTCAGTTTAAGAGGTAATTCATTGACTACTGTCATAGGAGATTGATGTGGGTCAAACATACGTACTACAAAACTGTCCTGAAATATAAAAACAAAGTCACAACTTACAAGCAAATAAATTTGGTACAGAAAACAGCCAATTTCATTATACAAAAAACTGTACATGTGTAATATGATAAGTTCTGTAAAACAAGAGCTGTCGGTAGGACAGCAACGCTCGACTATTCTTAGTGCTTGATAGTAAAAAACAAGATTGCATTTGAGAAAAATGCTATGCCACCGCATGGTTCAAATTTCATAGCTGTACATCAAAGGACAAGAAAGTAGGTCACATCATCAAAATCTAGGTCACCTGATATCAAAGTTTAATTTTACAACTAAAACTGTGCACATGGTCAAAATGTCATTGCTGTACATCAAAGGACAAGAAAGTAGGTCACTGTCCCCTTGGGCAAGGCATAATTTTGACCCAAGGGTTTAATTCAAAACAATTTTGATACAGGTCAAGTCAAATATCTAAGCTATAGCTTTCTCCCATTCAGAAAACATTTGTTTTATTTTCCGTTTTTACTATGTGTACATAATGACAATCACTGCCCCCGGGCAGGGCCAATTTTGACACCAGGGGAAAAATTTGAACAACTTTGGTAGAGGACCTATAAATGATATTATATATCAAACATCAAAGCTCTATGCCTTGTACCTTCAGACAAAAATATTTTTTTATTTTTTCACTATATGTACATAATGAAAATCAATGACCCCCGGGGCGGAACCAATTTTGACCCCAGGGCTATAATTTGAACAATCTTGCTAGAGGTTCACTACACAATGTTTCATGCAAAAAATCTTAACTCTAGCCTTTGTAAATTTAGAGAAGATGATTTTTTAAAGTTTTTACTATATACATATAAGGAAAACCTATGGCCCCGGGGGCGGGGCTAATTTTGACACAAGAGGCAACATTTGAATAACTTTTGTAGAGTACCTTTAGATGATATTATTTAACAAATATTAAAGCTCTAAGCCTTGTACCTTCAGACAATAAGATTTTTTTATTTTTTTATTATAATCAATGACCCCCAGGGCGGGGGCAATTTTGACCCCAGGGCTATAATTTGAACAATCTTGCTAGAGGTTTACTACACAATGTTTCATGCAAAATATCTAACCTGTAGCATTTGTCAATTGCTAGAAGAATTTTTTTGAAGTTTTTACTATAAGTTTTTACTATATACATATAAGGAAAACCAATGACCCCCGGGGCGGGGCCGATTTTGACCCCAGGGCTATAATTTGAACAATCTGGGTAGAGGTCTACCAGACAATGCCTTATGCAAAATATCTAAGCTCTAGGCCTTTTGGGTCTTTACAAGAAGGTGTTTTAAAATTTTGCTATATGTACATCTGGTGAAAATCAATGACCCTGGGGCGGGGCCGATTTTGACCCAAGGGCTATAATTTGAACAATCTTGGTAAAGGTCTACCAGACAATGCCTTATGCAAAGTATCTAAGCTCTAGGCCTATTGGGTCTTTACAAGAAGATTTTTTAAATTTATTCTTATAATTCCTTTTGGTTGCCATGGCAACCAGATTTCTGTATGGAATGAAATTCTTTGAACAACTTTGGAAGCCCTTCACCCAAGGAACAATCCTGCCAAGTTTTGTTGAAATTGGACTAGTGGTTTTTCACAAGAAGATTTTTTAAGTTCACTATATAATCTATATAACACACACACAAACACACACACAAACACACGCACACACACACAGGTGAATCGCTATATGCCACCGCATCGCAGATGCTGCGGTGGCATAAAAATGCTTGATACAGTTACCTCCTCCTGTTTACAGGTTGGGGTCATTATAGTGAACAAGTGTGCAAAGTTTCAAAGCCATATGTCAATGGACTTTGAAAATATTTGAACTATTACAAAAACTTTAACGTAAATTCTAAGTCGAAAAAGGGGCATGATTTTGTCAAAATGCTTGATAGAGTTACCTCCTCCTGTCTACAGGTTGGGGTCATGATGATGAACAAGTGTGCAAAGTTTCAAAGCCATATGTCAATGGACTTTGAAAATATTTGAACTATTACAAAAACTTTAACGTAAATTCTAAGTCGAAAAAGGGGCATGATTTTGTCAAAATGCTTGATAGAGTTACCTCCTCCTGTCTACAGGTTGGGGTCATGATGGTGAACAAGTGTGCAAAGTTTCAAAGCCATATGTCAATGGACTTTGAAAATATTTGAACTATTACAAAAACTTTAACATAAGTGGTTACGCCGACGCAGACGCCGCCGACGCTCGGGTGACTACAATAGCTCTACTTATTCTTATCAAATAGTCGAGCTAAAAAGCATTATAACTTTTACCATACTAAAATTAATTACATTCTCCTCAAACTATATATCTTCCAATAATGTCAAACCCCTTGTGGGGACGTACACATGTCTGTGCATCAAAATAAACTAGACTTTATCACAACATGAACACCAAGCATAAACAGAATGGCATGTGGTTACCATGTCAGCAGAGGAACAAGAACATGAAAGAAGGTTCTAACTTGAAAAAGTACAAAAATTCTCTTTACTCTTCAGATATAGTTAAAGCAGTTCATTATCACATACATGAGCATTGTATTGATTTACTCCCTTTGATGCCGTTTAAAGTACCACCAACAGTGTTAAGGTCATATGTCAATTCAGCTTTACTGGTGGCGGAAGACTTTCTTTCCTGTTTATGCTTAATCACAGGCACCAGTGACCCCCTGAGCAGAATAGCCCACCTTTCATAAGGCTTAAATCTTGCTAGATAGCTTTTTAACATAAAATAATCCAAAGTTCCTGTCACTTTTTTCATAAATATTTATTTGAAAGTGCATTATTGCTTGTCATAAATCAAATATATTTGTGTGAATTCATCAAGTACTTACATCTTTTGCTGCTGTAATTTGTCCTATATGTTCTCCATCACAAAACATGGCACATGGGGCAACTCCATGTCCTAAAATTAATTGCAAATTTCACATCAGTGCATGCCTTAAATTTCATTGATGTGACAGAAAGGAAAAGAAAATATGTAAGGTTAAATTTTTAAACAAACTTTCTATGTTATTTCAGTACAAAAAGAAGATGAGTTTATAAAAATCTAATGCCCTGGTAGCCTGTCCCAAGTCTATACATGAATTCAACATTTATTTATTACCCCTAACTTATGTATTAAAATTCAGCTAGGGATATTCAATTATTATAAGCAGGCTGACATCCAGTTATTACCCAATATATTTTTGTTTGGTTTTACGAGATAAATACAATTTAAGTCATATGGCATCAAAACAGGAAAGATCATTTTGGCAAACATCGGGTGTTACAAACTTAAAGCAATATAATGCATGTAGTTATACTATCACTATCTTACATTAACAACAATGTATTGACTTGAATTTCAACCAAAAATATGTGTAAATATCTTACCATCCATATCACATAGATTCTCCACTTCAAGTGTGTCAGTGTTGATAGTACACAGCTGAGAGGAGTTATCTATTCTACATAACAGCAATGTCTGAAATATATACCACATCAATCTTCAATTACCATAACTTAGCTGCATCAACTTTTAAAAGTTTTTTTGTGACAAAATATATCTTTGTTGTTAAATACTTATCTTGATATATCTTTAACTAATGGGTAACCACATCATTTCATTACAGACATAATGTCTGTTCAGTGGTAAACAGTTGTATCTTCTGTTCATCTATTGAGATATTGTTTATCCTTTGGAACTAATTTCACAATATTTCACAACCCTGATGAAGACTTGTGAGAGTCAAAACAGTTGAGCAGCGTCATGACAAAACCAACATAATGGGTTTGCGACCAGCATGGATCCAGACCAGCCTGTGCATCCGCATAGTCTGATCAGGATCCATGCTGTTCGCTATCAGTTTCTCTACTTGTAATAGAGTTGGTAAGCAAACAGCATGGATCCTGATCAGACTACGCGGATGCGCAGGCTGGTCTGGATGCAAACCCATTATGTTGGTTTTGTCATGACGCTGCTCAAATCTAGTTATATGAAGAAATTTAGCAAATCTATTTAAAAACTATCACAGTTTATTATCTAAGCATATTGAGTTACTACAGTCATGCTGTGATTTCTAGCTCACTTACCCCTGCATAGGCCAGCCATACACTTGACTTAGCTGGTAACATTTCTCTGTAGCATACAATATGACCCTGTAAATAACAAGTGTAGATAAGTAAAAACTGAATAGATCTTTGAAGATTTGAAGCTTTCTTTTTAACCAATTCTGAAGTCAAAGAATGGTTTATAGAGATAACTATCTTATAAGAACTGCCTGATTAAACTATGTTTTAAAAGCACTTTACTTCCAGATTCTGTCCACTTTGTTTGAAATTTGAACAGTTTTTTTAAGTTTTAATTAGTTAACATTTTCGTCAGGTGAACAAATATTGTGATAAAGGCAAGTCTGATATTATGTAAATAAATACAGGAATTATCTGATATTATACAAATATGGACTTTTTAGCTGTTGAATATGATGTGATATGTACTGAAAAAATTAATATTGACTGAGGCGATAGCCGAGGTCAATATTAATTTTTCAGTACATATCACATCATATTCAACAGCTAAAAAGTACATATCTGTTTTATTATATATTTTATAAATAGCTTTTATATGGCTTATCACATCTGCCATTGCATACGACGGAAATCATTATTTTTCAGCTTGTCTACTGTTTCCATAATTTGGCCCTTTCCATTGGCATGCTAATCCCTATTGTTCTTAAAAATGGTAACTAAAATAGACTTATTTGACTCTTATGTACACCCGATTCAACGTTTTTGAGAATAATAACAACAAACTTTGCGTGACATCTCGTCAAAGTCTCGTGTCTTTAAGGGATTTCCAGAAAATCTATTTTTAGAAGAAAAACCGGTGAATATACTCTGAAAATCTATTTTTAGGAAAAAAAACAGTGAATATACTCTGATATTGACCTGTTATTTTTTACAAAAAGTTGCTTGTTAGCCAATCAGGGAAAGGCATTTCAAAGCTATTTATAGATTATATAATAAAAACAGTTAATTCAACTTTATTTGGCATAAAACATATCCAATGCTAATTTAATAGTGAATAAGTACATATTCCTTAAACTTTTAAAACATTTTCTTTACTTGAGTTTTTGAAATTATGTGAATTCTGAAGCATTTGCACCTTAAAGTGGCATGCCTCCAGATTCATGATAATTTTCATTAAAATTAAAAAAAAAAAATTAAAAAGTAAAAATATTGTTAAGTGGACAAAGAAAGTAAGTTAAACATTGCAAATGGCACTAATGGCCCATGTAAATTACCAAAAAAAGAGGTAAAAATATGCAAAAATAGCCCTTATTGTGTTAGTCAAACAGTAGAAATATGGTGATAAATAATGCAAAATCAGATTTTAATCCCACATCAAACATAAAGTTATATCTTGAATCTTTTTATACTTTTCTTAAAATCTTAATGCATTTTTCTAATGTCTGATTTTCTTGAAATATTCTGGCACATATGGAGGTGTGCAACTTTAATTGTGCATAGGGTTTTTAGCTTTATCAAGATTATATAGGACATTTACTGGTATTCTTTATTCAATAAATCTGCTATTATATAAATGAGCCGCGCCATGACAAAACCAACATAATGCGTTTACGACCAGCATGGATCAAGACCAGCCTGCGCATCCACGCAGTCTGATCAGGATCCATGCTGTTCGCTATCAGTTTCTCTACTTGTAATTGAGTTGGTAAGCGAACAGCATGGATCCTGATCAGACTGCGCGGACTGGTCACCATCCATGCTGGTCGCAAACACATTATGTTGGTTTTGTCAAGGCGCGGCTCAAATGTAGTTTTATATACCTTTAATGATCCACCATAGCCTGAGCCTATTTTGAATAGTCCATATTTATTGTGTATATACAGGTAACGACCATCAGACGTTATAGCAGATATACCTTGTGAATCTACAGATGATGCTGAAATACATTACATTAATATATAACAAGAGCTGTCCGTAAGACAGCGCGCTCGACTTTTTTATTGCTTGCCAATAAAAAAAGTTTTTGCAGTAAAAGGCAATACAAGAATCTCTGTATTTTTAAAGTGAACAATGGCCATGAGCATTAAGATATTTAGTGAAGAATTATTTTACTGAATTGTGTGATACCCTTGAACACTGCAGCAAAGTTTGAAATGTTTAAGTCAAAAGAGGGCTGGTAAGAAAGAAAAAAAAACTGAGTTGAGCCTTAAATAAATTTAATTCTAAGTCGATAAAAGGCCTTAATTTTTAAAACAAATCCTTGACAGAGTTACCTTCTCTTGCGTACAGATGGGGGTAATGATGTGAAATAGCATTAAAAGTTTCAAAGCAATATCTCAAAGGGTTAAGGCAATAAGTGGATTTTACCCATATTCAATGTATTTTCTAAGTCAAAAAGGGGCATAATTCTGTCAAAAACCTTGACAGAGTTATGTCCTCTTGTCTGTTGATGAAGGTCGTGATGGTAAACAAGTATGGTCAGTTTCAAAGCAATACCTCCAATGGTTTTGAAATAAAGTGAGGTGGTACAAAAAACTTAACCAAGCTCAATACACTTTCTAAGTCAAAAAAGGGCCATAATTCTGTCAAAAACCTTGACAGAGTTATGTACTCTTGTCTGTAGATGGAGGTTATGATGGTGAACAAGTATGGTAAGTTTCAAAGCCATACTTGTAATACTTCTGAAATAAAGTGGGGTGGTACGAAAAACTTAACCAAGGTGTGACGCCAACGCCGACGCCGACGCCGGGGCTAGTAGGATAGCTCCCCTTTTCATAGAAAAGTCGAGCTAAAAATGTGTTGTGTAACAATTAAATAAAAACATGATCCGTAAATTGTAAAATTAAAATTGTATACTGTAAAGAGAAAGTTAAACTCGGCACTACTTGATTTATGGCTATCAGTATACATAAAGATATGAGAAACATTAAGTTAATAGCTAAGCTGTTTTTGAAAAAAAGAAACATGAACTGAAAATAATTATAGGGCAAATTTTATTCTTCAATACATTAAAGACACTTTTATTTATCTTGTATGGACATACTGAATTTGCACACACACAAATAAAATGGATAAAAATTGTTGAGTTATTATAAAAGGATAGATCTCTAGGCATATGTTTAGACCATAAACATAACATTCAAAGTCCAAAAGTATCTAATTCATCAGTCTTCTACAAAATATGTATTATGTAGCATAGATCATACCAGATTACTTTAAAAGCCCATTATGCCTCAGAAGTACTATCATTTTTTCCCCTAAAAATCTTAAATTTTTGCTATCTTGTTACAGTCACTTGCCATAAACATGAAGATGGACTATCTTCGCATCTTTTGCTTTGTTGGCAATTGGTATAATTATAGTGAATTAGTATTTTGTATGGAAGTCAAAATACTACTTTGTTTACATTTTGCTACCTTTACAACACATTACTTAATATTCAGCGCTACTTTCTTCAGCTGTTAAACATCTAACATACTCTATATCCATTATTGAATTCATGTTTGACATTTCTTAGATATCAATTTCTGTGGCATTCTGTGCCTTTGAAGCTCGAATGTAATATGACCATTTAGCTTACTATGTGGTATATCTTGTAGAGTAAAGGAGAACAGTCTAGATTGTTCTTTTACACCATGTGTAAACCAGTCTGGTAGATGTGTCTTCCCCTGTAACACTGCTTGTACACTCTTCTGTAGAGATGTCAATATACCTGGTACCTGTATAATACAAACAATACTTGCGCTCAAACTTTAGCTTGTTTAGAAATGGATTATAAAGGTGCACCCCAATATCTTATAGTCACAAATCATGTGTAAACATGTATTCTTTATAGAAAATTGTAATGGTATTTAATATCATCCAACGGAATTGCAGATAACTGTGTTGAAAAATTCTAAAATGGTGACAGTGTACGTGTGTTTTGTTTTTTAAATGGGACAGACATGATTCAAGTCTTTATACAAATGGCCACAAAGTCTGACAAATATCTAAATGTGACGTCTTTCCTTCAAAAATATGTGCAAATGCATTAATATAATATGACACATGTGTAGCTTTTATCATCTTAAAATAACATTCAAATACTATAGAAACAATCTGCAAATTTATGCAAATTCAGTATTGCTGGGATTATTCCCCAATTTGTAAAAAAAATGTTCCAATTATCTAGAGGAATTTGAGATCAAGATTTTGTTATATAGAATAAAATGTAAGAATCCAAAATTCTGCCTGACCATTTACATGTAAAGCAATACTGGACTCTCTTGACTTTTTTGGAAGGTTACATAAGGTTACATTTACACATATATAATCACTTCTATGTCACTCACTGTTAAACTCTGACATTGCTGATTTATTTTGTCCATTTCTAGAGAAAATACTGATACAATCATATACTTTTAAAAAGTTAAAAACATGTCCTTTGTCAATTTTATCATCTCACCTTAATATGTTCTGATGCTAGAGGGCCGGTGCTCATTAGAAGAGCAGCTACAGCAGTTAACAGTTTGCCTGTATCTCCGAGAGCTATCACCAAACTGATCAAAGCTGAACATGCCAGAGATGTCAGAGATAGTCCCTGATGTACAAAATCAGGGCCAGAATTGGTAGCTATATCCATCAGAAGTTGAAATAATCCGTCTGCAAATTGAATTAATACATTGTATTGATATGATTTATAATACTGTTTTAACAAAAGGCAGAAATGTGGTCTGCTTACCACAAATTTAATTCAACGTCATGTCAAAATGTTAAATTAAAGCAAATTTTTTTTACAACAACAATTCTTACATAAATATGATAAACCGGAAAATGTGGCACTTATGTATCATAATGACAAACTGACAAAGAACTAGAACTGTGTCCAGAGGACACGGATGCCCCCACTGACAACATATAAATGGTATATAGTGAAAAAATCAACAAAGGGCCATAATTCTGTTAAATTTGGTCGCAGCAAAAATTCCTTCGTTTACTACCATCTACACATTAAGGCTGTTCATCCCTGGAAGTTTAAGCAAAATCTGCCATCCAGTTTAAGAGTAGTTGTGTTCACAAAATTTCTACATAGTATATAGTGAAAAAATCAACAAAGGGCCATAATTCTGTTAAATTTGGTCGCAGCAAATTCCTTTATTTACTATCATCTACACATTAAGGTTGTTCATCCCTGGAAGTTTAAGCAAAATCTGCCATCCGGTTTAAGAGGAGTTGCGTTCACAAGATTTCTGGACGTACGTCAGACGTACGGACAAGTGCAACGCTATATGCTCCCCATTTTGTGGGGGCATAAAAATTGCAGTTCATTCATATAAATGTTCATCATTTCATTGAGCAAGTGCTGCTGTATGAAAGATGTAAAAGTTCACACATACCGACAACATCCGTTGGTTCATGTTTCATACTTTCTGGAAGCTGTCCTTGTAACATGTCTAAAAGTGCTTTCATTGCCTTCACACATAACTCTGGGTAGTTGGCCCGAGTCTCTCTAACCAACTCAAACACACCACATAACCCAAGTCCAACAATCTGAAAATATATTTATAATGCATTATAGTATCCATATCAAAGTATGCATAGCACGTAAATACATAGACTATAGAAGGGGCTTATTAGTTAATAATAACTTCATACTTTACATTTGATGTCCAGTGACAATAAACTTTCGATATAAAAAGAAATTCAAATATGAATTGGGGCTTTAAATAATAACAACCCTTTTAAATAAAAATTTTGTTCTGCATAATATTCAGACATCAACCTAGCATCCACATTGAAACTTTACTTTCAAGACATAATTCTTGCTATCTAACACAGTTTGGTAACAACATTTTATACCAACCTTGGGTATTTTGACAGCCACATCTCTGCTTTTATCCTCAATCTCTTCATCAGTTTCTGAGTCAGAAAAATTGCCTGTACTTTTCTGGTAGACCTTTGTTGCCTCTTTCATACATTTTTCCAGCAGTGTCTGTCTGACAAGAGCGTACACGTTGAACGTTGAAGGATTTCCAGGAATCTCCAGATTTGTCACCGTACTCTCAGGTACTTCCTCGGGGCTTGCATCACGCTGTTTATATATTAGAAAATTCATAAAGATTTATTGGACAGTTTGTTTGGCCCAGCATTAAAGGTAATATAAAAGCATCAAACAATACACTTGTTAAATATTGAAGGCCATTACAATCAATTTATGATACTGCACAATTATTTCCAATGGATAAAATAAAACTACAGTAATAAAGTTGCAGGTAATATAAAGTTTAAACATCATGATCATGAATGTCTCAGATCCTGCAGATTTACAGCTTACTTGTTTGAATTTTGATTCTATTTTAATAACTGTCAATTATCAATTAACTGTCAATAACAAGGACTTGAGAAAATCTTTAAGTTGGTCAGCTATGTTATAGAACCTGTTCAGACTGTGAAGATGTGTTCCCTGACATGGCTGTACACTGAAAACTTTTAATTTATTAATTCTTAAGGTTAAGTACTATCATTAATGTAGTTTCTCTAAAAGAATCAAAGTGTGTATTTGAACCTAATAATTAGGGATTTGAACGGGTGTCACTTTTAAGCTAGTACAATCGTTTTTTTTTTAGCTAAAATCCGATTAGAAAATTCAATAACCTGCTACCAAGATAAGTATTTGACAAAGAGGCGAAAAAGTTTTATATTGAATCTAAATAATTATAATACCTTTGTTATTTATAACAAGATATAACATTTTTTTGTATTTTAGTTGTACTCAACATAACATATATTTTTCCTGATCTGATTGAGTATGGTACAACCCTAACCAAAATAGTTACTACATATCCGGATATGTATTGTAATCATTTTGAGAACAACAAAATATGAACAACATTTGATATCATGTTTTTCTACCCGTGTTATCCCTTCTAATACTGGATGAAAATATAATGTAACAGATTTTCCTAAACAGTAAGTTTGTTTTTTTCTTGTTGTTTTGGGGGGCTCTTTTCACAACATATATTGACTGACAACGGTATTTCAAATTAAGTTACAAAAAGTAATTAATTAAAAACTTTAAGTAAGAATTTTTAATATATATCAAATATCAACCATGTTATTTACCTTTGATTTTTTATCTTTCACTTTGTGTTTCGCTTTCTTTGGCTTTTTATCTGGCTTCTTTCTGAAACGTCACAAACAAAAGTTCATTTTAGATGAAGTTTAAATCAAAAGCTGAGCCATAGTCCAAACCACTAAGGCATATTAATGTCAGTAAAACACTTTTTATAGCAAGCTCCAAAAGCAAACCCAAAGGGCCTGCTTGCAAAGCGAGCATTACAGTAACGCAAGTATCTGCAGAATTGCTGGTTTTGAAAACTTTCGCCGAAAGTACAGCAAAATTATGGGTAGTAAGTTTGCCTGCTCTTCATCGGAGGTGATTTTGGTTCCCTGTCAAATTATATTTGGAGCATGGCAGGAACAAGTACCAGTAGGTTACCTGCACTGTTGTTTACCAAAGCACCCCGGTAAACAGTTTTCTGGTTTCCTATCTCATTATGGTTCCAATTCAAATTGACATTTGGAATTCCTTGCCAATTACCATTAAATCAAATGCAAAGTTTTGCCAACTTAAGTTTTCCTGAAATGGGACTTTTAGCGCGATCACAATCATTTTATGAATAAATCAGTCAGTAATATTTTGATTTAGTGTTGCATCTAGAATTTCAAAATGATGGGGGACCGTCCCCCACTCAATTGAAAAATGTGAGGGATTTGAAAAAAATGTGGGGGACAAGCATTTACCAACAATATGATCATTTTAAAAATAAACAAGCATAAATCATCACCTGTAGTCACTTTATTCATACATTTAATAATTATGTTCTGTTCATAGGTTCATAGTTTAAGCCTTCTCCTTTTTATTCCCTCAAATATATCAATAAAACTCCCAAGATTGTCATTTGTCAGTTCATTATTTTGTTTGGTACTTAAAAGCAATCCTGCTAATTGTGAATTTTTTATGTTTTTTTAGCATTGTGAAGAGGCCTTATTTCGGGGTCAAACTCAGCCAAAAAAAAATTACTGACTTATCAGCGAAATTTTCAGTGCCATTTCTTGTTGGAAGTGGCTAGCGGTACGGGCCCGTACGGCTAGCCAAAAGTTCTAGCCGTACGTGAGTGCCGTACGACTACCCAGGACTCACTGTATTGTCTAGCCGTACGGCACTTTTCAAAATTATATGGAAGTGGAACTGTTCAACATGCATATGTTATTTTGTGCCTCATGATTATGATTTGTTGTTTTATTTGTATGATAGATGAATTTTTGTTAATTAATCACATGGATCGAATAAATAAGGATCGGAGTGGAATAAAGAAAAACACAGATTTATATTACAAATCCGTGAAAAAAAGAACATTGAAAAAAAAAAAGACAAAAAAAACCAACAAAAACGGTGAAATGCAAAATAATTGTATAATTTTAAAATACAGTAGTTAAATATCGAACATAAAAGCACAATCAATTAATTAGCCTTAATTAAAGCCTACATAGGGACTGACAATAGAATTTAAACATGCGTTTCACGGAACATGCAAACTTTCCTTATGTTAACAAACTTCTATACTGGTCGGAGAGATAACTCTGACGCATAGATAACCCCGTCACTTGATAAATATAATTGTTTTAGCTTTGTTTTTCAACAAATATGCACATGATCACCTAACAGTATAGGAACAGGACAGAATGTGATGATTTGTTATAATTTGGTAGACTTTTTAATGTTTTTCAAATAACCTAAACTTTTTGTAGGCAAAAACTGCTTCAAAACGTTCTTTTCACTAAATTACAGTAAGGTAGTTAGAAATGTATTGACCACAGGCCACTGACTTGGGAAAGATTTTTGAAAAAATTGTTTAAATATTTACAAAAAATAGATAAACCATATAAGATGTAAAAAAATTATTGATGCTGATTTTCCAGTCATTTTTTTTCCTTGAAAATTTAAGTGTTGCCTTAACCTACTGTTGTGGGGTAAAAAGACCATGTTTTGTATACCTCATTCAAGACCTTCAAGAAGTACCAGATTCCATTTTCATACATAGTTTTTGTGGTGTAATGTAAAGCCTTTGAACTGAACTTTGTTTAGGTGGTTCAATATTTAAAATATACTGGACGATAATTAAAATATTGCAAAAAATATGTGATTTAGTGTCGGAGTTATCTCTCCAACCAGTACCATCGGTAATTGACGCAATTATCAGAGCCCAACAACAATAATTTTCGTGTTTAATTTTTTGTTTCATTTCAAAGGTGTTGAAAATTAAACTCAATGAAACAAAAAAGAATTATCATCAAAATTTTGTAAACTTTTTCAATTGATGTTATTTAACTTCGACCAAATGCAATTTTTTTCTCAACGTCTTGAGATGACAAAGATCGATATTCGTACTTTTTTACTGAAGCCAATAAGGCGATTAATCTATAAAAGATAAACATACGAAGACAATTGCTGTTTCTTGGTTAAAATCCTTGCTTAAAGTCATAAAATAACATATATGTATTTTCGACTTCCATATAATTTTGAAAATGCCGTACGGCTAGCCAATTATACAGTGTGTCCTTGCTAGTCCTACGGGACTCACGTATGGCTAGAACTTTTGGCTAGCCTTTCTTGTTGGGTACCATAACGCAATGATAAATGACGAGTAATAAGATAAATAACAAATCGCAACTTTTTGGCCTACAAGATAACGATTAAAGCCGAGGAATTATGGGCAGCCTTCTTGGATGGGAACCATAAGACAGGAAACCAGAACAAACGGAAGCAGTGTATAAAAATTAAAATACCGAATGGCACTTTTAAAACGGAAAATGTCAAATAAAAATACCGACTTCCCCTAATTTCATATTACAAGCTACTTGTACTGGTAGAGTTTTCATACAGATCCCAAAACTATGATTCTACTCAGAAAATGATTTGGCTACTGGCACAAAAAATTGAACTTGGTCATTTAACATAAGTCACCAACATGAATAAATTTCAGCGATGAGAAAATTAGAAATAACAATATAAATCGTACTTCTGGACGTTATTTTCTTCCGGAAGCTGGAATAATTCATGAAATTTCTGCCCAAGTTTGTCGCCTTTCAGAAACAGGTCAAGTTCACTTCTCGTTGAAGGAAGAACAGATGCAGCAGCCATCTTATGAAATGTCAATGTTTATCATATATGAAAGACTAAATTAATTATTAACTAGTTCCATTTTTAACGCAAATAAGTCAAAATCGGGAATTTTCAAAGAGATCCCAACTTTCGCTTTGCAGGTGACATTTTGACTCTAGAATTGTGGGAGTTGGTAAATTAGTTAAATATGCGAAAAAGAGTTCTTTTCGCGCTTTAAATAGACATACTAGGTAACTTTTCGTCTATTTACTCAGGAAAATTTTATTTATCCTGTTATCTCTTATTGGCCTAAACTGGCATAGATGAACTTTACATAACATTTATAGATACAGTACTATATATCAATACAATGTAGATATATAGATAGGCCCCTATAGGTACTTTGGTGTTTTTTTTTACCTAAATACAGAAAAATATCCCCTTTAGACACTATGGAACAAAGAAAACATTTTATCTGGAAAAGTACGTTTTTTTGTGTGTATGAATACTGACCCTCTATCTCTAGTTCTCGTATTATCTGGTAATTTTATGTGTTGCTGAAGGTTGATCGGTATGTAATGATTTAAATTCTACAAATCACCTCAAATAATTACTGTAATTATGGACCTTTATTGACATGTCAATAAAGGTCCGTGCTAAAATGCCACTCTTTATTAAGTGTTTTACATAGGCCTACACTATCATAGAAAATGTTTGTGTTTTATTATGCAAAATAACTTAACTACTAGATTCTAGTATGGTATTATTACAATTAAAGTTGCAGTTTTAACACATTTTTTCTGAATTAATTTATACTTTCATAAAACATTATTTTTACATGCTTTTATCACATTTTTATCTAAATGTTTATTTGGTATATATCAAAGAAGAATATCTACAAAGAAGACATGTTTTCAAATTCCAAAGTGCCAATGTCATCTGTTTAATTAAAGCATGTCCCGATACATATAACACGAGAAACCCTGATTATATGGGAAACATATACTTAATTAAAATATTATTACAGGTATCACATGCATTATGTATAAAACATACAAAAATGCAACAAAAGTAGTATTCTAACACTATCGGATTTTTTTTATATAAACAAAGAAATTAAGGCCCGAAGTGTGCATTATTCTACAACAATGCACTCGCCGTTCTTATTATCTCCCTGTGTATTTTCACATTGACGGCGCCATTTTGTTTGAAAAATCTGATAAATAAAACAATTTTTTGTCGAATTTTATTGTGAAAACTATCTAGAATGAAGGAAAATGGTCTAACTAAGAAAATGAATCCGAACACCAATATCGTTAATTCAGTCGTTAACGCTGTACAGACGTTTAAAGTGTTGTTTACGTGACGTCACAATGTAGCGCCAAACAGCACGTGCCAAACAATCAAATCAAGTACGCTATTTTAATGTCGCAAACGAGTCAAGTTTTACATATATTTCACTTTTAATAATTTGTATTTCGCTTGGAAAATTATAGACTGAAATAAGATAAACAAACAAAGTTTTATCAACGTTTTCAAAATTCGTTATTCTCAAAATGTTTCTACACACGGTAGATTTAACGGCAGTTTTTTCAACCCACTGGAACGGCCTTTAAAGAACGTTTAGAACTATTGGAAGGCGAAAACAAATTTAACCACCAAACATAAAGTCCAACTTTATAATAATAATTATATTTTTCTTGACGTGTTAGAATGGAAATAGATATTAATTCTTCGTACATTATTGTATAATAATGCACGTTTTTCGTTCAAATGCTTTGTAATTAATCACTCAGGCCTATCGGCCTTCGTGATTATATTACTACGCATTTGAACTCAAACCGTGCATTATTCTACAACAATGCACTCAGAATTGATATCTATTTCCTAAATATATTCATCAATATTAAGAAGCATTTTATATGAGTGTCCAATTACTTATTCTATTCATATTAGATTGATCTCAATACAGCTAGTGTTGGAGCAGTACCTCTACACGTACGCTTGCAGAAATCGTGATTACAAAATAGACAAATATCGTTTTTTACCCCGATTCTCACATTTTTTTCATTCATTATTATATAAAAATCGGTATGGAGAGATTTATACGTTAAATCATGGAAACGCCTGGTCCGGTATACATGTATATCCGAATACGATATTTATATAGTGTAAAAAATCTATATTTTTTACATTATTACCATAAAATGCAAGTAAATGACATAATTTTGCAGAAACTTGTAGGATCTACGATTATCAAGACATTTATTGATGCAACGAGTTAAACTTGGGCACGTAGGTTAAATTGTAGGACTTTAATTTACACTACTTTAAGTTCTGTTAAAAACAATGAAGAAGCCATGTTAAAAATGGGTTATAAGCCTCTTAAAGGCTACACTTTTTAAATATTTTAAGATGAGAAAGAACATTAATTGTAAGAGATCTCGAATTTGTTTCTCGGGTTATAGAACTTTATTTTTATAAATCGAAAAATGGTCGTGAAGCATTGATACATGTTTTGAGCAACTTTGAGTTTGTGGTTAAGTGACTTATTAATTATAAGCCGTTTATTCCAAGAAAATGAAAAAAAAATCAAAGTGGCACGTCTAATAGGACAGGACATAGGCCTAATACTGTCTTTTTTATGTCTGCGATTAGCAACTATTGTAACTATTAGTGGCGGCATGGCCGAGTGGTTAACGCTTCGGACTAGTAACCTAATGATCGCTAGCCGCATGGGTTCAAACCCTGACAGGGGCATGTCGATGTTTCCCTGAGCAAGAAACTTTACACTCATTGCTCAGTACTGGTTGGTTCCAGGAACTGATTCGATATAGCTTCCTGCAGAATCGAACTATAATAAATTCTGTATAAACCAACGGTTCAGAAAATATTCTTCCATTCACCTTTGATGGAATGCAAGTAACACTTAGTATTGGCAGAGTAGAATCGATATTCAAACCATGATTCTTTACGTCAAAAGACGACTTTGCTATATGTGATCTTTGCATGAAATTGAGATACATGTATGTTAACATATTAGAGCAACGTTTGAGCTTTGAGCTATAAATTTTGGATTTTGTGAAGATTTTTGTGGGAATTTATCTGCAAATACAATTATCTTGCAAATTTGCAATCAGGATCATGGTTAGCCATCATGTCATTAAAGGGAAAGACAAGGTTAAAATAAAAACTTGATTTCAGAAAAAGAATACTATAAATAATAAGTCTGCAAATTTTCTGCCGCCAAATAATAATATTAAACGAATGATAACAAAATTTAAATCGCTAAATCACCGATTTCTACAAATCGGTAAGCGCGGCCATGTTTGTGTATTGGCCGTATAAAAACAGGTGCGCGTGATGTCATTTCCCCACATCTTTTAGATTCATGATAAATCTAGTTGAATCGTAAGGAAATATTAATATAATAAAGTATTAATCTGACAATTTAATTTTCACAGGAGGTGTAGAGTAGATTTTTATGGTTCAAAATACGTAACAATATCAAAAAAAAAAATAATAAAAAATAAAGAAACGTACGGCTAGCCAAAAGTTCTAGCCGTACGTGAGTCACGAACGACTAGCCAGGACGCACTGTATTGTCTAGCCGTACGGCAATTTTCAAAATTATATGGAAGTCGAACGTTATAAAATTGTTGATTTTCATGCTTATCATTTGTTGTTTAATTTGTATGTATTATTAACCCATTACTTCATATACACGCCTTTTAACGCCTTTTTCACCCCCCCCCCTTTTTTGTTGTCTCAAATGATGAAAAAATGCCTTATTTAGGCCCCAAACACTTGTTTTTGTTTGAGAAATGTTGTTAAAAAAATTGACCTCTTTTTCGGCGCGGCCCCCCAACCAAAAGATACATCAGGGGGTTGCCAGAAGGGGGATGTGCCCCCTTCTGTTTTGGGGGGTTTGAAGGGGGGCGGAGTCCCCCTCATCGCCAAGAAAATTTTGGACTTGTGAGAGGCTGTAAATGACCCCAGATTGATCATAAGGTAACGTGTAACCAACGCTGAAAAGCATTTGACTCTATCTCAATCCATTGATAAGTTGCAGCACTTTGAAATCAATTTTGATGGAAAAAATCAACGCAAAATAGTGATTTTTGGCAATTTTGAGATGTCCCCTCGTTGCCATGGTAACAGAAAATTTAAGTCTGAGCATGTTGTTGCAAGGACAATGGTCCAGTCAACATTTGTGCCAAGTTTGATTAGTGTTGAAGCAGTTTTTATAACATTATAGCAATTTGAACTTGTAACGGGAGACTTTTCAATGAAAACAGCCATTTTTCACAAAATGCTCATGAAGCAATGGGTTAATGAAAAAAATAAAAAAATCTACAAAACAACAATTTTTCTTCAAATTTATATGACAGGCCATGTTTAAACATGAAAAAACGCGATTTAGGGTAATTTCAAGTATTTTCATCATTTTCAGTTAACCCATTACTTCATATACACGCCTTTTAACGCCTTTTTCACCCCCCCCTTTTTTGTTGTCTCAAATGATGAAAAAATGCCTTATTTAGGCCCCAAACACTTGTTTTTGTTTGAGAAATGTTGTTAAAAAAATTGACCTCTTTTTCGGCGCGGCCCCCCAACCAAAAGATACATCAGGGGGTTGCCAGAAGGGGGATGTGCCCCCTTCTGTTTTGGGGGTTTGAAGGGGGGCGGAGTCCCCCTCATCGCCAAGAAAATTTTGGACTTGTGAGAGGCTGTAAATGACCCCAGATTGATCATAAGGTAACGTGTAACCAACGCTGAAAAGCATTTGACTCTATCTCAATCCATTGAGAAGTTGCAGCACTTTGAAATCAATTTTGATGGAAAAAATCAACGCAAAATAGTGATTTTTGGCAATTTTGAGATGTCCCCTCGTTGCCATGGTAACAGAAAATTTAAGCCTGAGCATGTTGTTGCAAGGGCAATGGTCCAGTCAACATTTGTGCCAAGTTTGATTAGTGTTGAAGCAGTTTTTATAGTATTATAGCAATTTGAACTTGTAACGGGAGACTTTTCAATGAAAACAGCCATTTTTCACAAAATGCTCATGAAGCAATGGGTTAATGAAAAAAATAAAAAAATCTACAAAACAACAAAAAAATGAAAAAAAATCTACAAAACAACAATTTTTCTTCAAATTTATATGACAG